AATACAAGGGGGAGAAATGAATGACAGTAGAGGGGGTAGAGAGAGAAGAGGGGAGGGGAGGGGAGGGGAGGGGGGATAGTAGAGGATAGGAAAGGCAGCAGAATACAACAGACACAAGTATGGCAATATGTAAATCAATGGATGTATAACTGATGTGATTCTGCAATCTGTATACGGGGTAAAAATGGGAGTTCATAACCCACTTGAATCAAAGTGTGAAATATGATATATCAAGAAACATGTAATGTTTTGAACAACCAACAATAAAAATTTTTAAAAAAAGAAAACAAATATGAACAATTTAAAAAAAGAACTATGTAATGTTTTTGAACAACCAACAATAAAAATAAAAGAAAAAAAATTATCCTAAGGAAAAAAAATTGTCTATTTTTAGCTATTCAACAGATTAAAAGCAAAATTACCATGTTATATTAAGTCCTGGAGTTCAAGCCTAAATGTTTACGTGAAAAAATTATTGTAGTAAACTGTTTTTTAGAGTGTTACAGTTATACACAGCATATGGGTTCATTTTGACAAAATCATACATGCATGGAATTTGATTTCAATCACCATGCCCCGCCTTTTTCTCTTCTCTCCTCCCTCTCCCTATTCTCCTTCCTCTACTGATCTTTCTTTCCCTTATTTAGTTATTTTTGATTGGTAATTTCTACATATACATAAAGGTGAAATTCCCTGTGGTATATTTATATAAGCATAAAAATAATGAATGCTTCACAAATTTGCATGTCATTCTTACACAGGGGCCTGCTAATCTTCTCTGTATCTTTTCAATTTTGGTATATGTGCTGGTGAAGCACACACTGTAGTAAATTTTTAATATGGCAAAGCAACTTTACACTCTGTTTTAGCCAAATGAAATATAATATGAAATAATGCTAAGTGAAGTTAGGCAATCCCAAAAAACCAAATGCCGAATATTCTCTTTGATATAAGGAGGCTGATTCTTAGTGGAATAGGGAGCAGAAGCAAGGGAGGAATAGACGAACTCTAGATAGGGCAGAGGGGTTGGAGGGGAAGGGAGTGGGCAGGGGTTATTAATGATGTTGGAATGTGATGGACATCATTATCCAAAGTACAGGTATGAAGACATAAATTGATGTGAATATACTATGTATACAACCAGAGATATGCAAAATTGAGCTCTATATGTGTAATAAGAGTTGTAATACATTCTGCTGTCATATATAAATTTAAAAACTTTTTTTAAAAAAGAAATATAATCTGAAATTATATTAGAAAATTTCCCTTATCTTCAAACTCTTTGGTGTAACAGAGTATTACATGCAGTTGGGTGGATTTCACTAGTTAATGCACACTCTTTCCCTCCTCCCCCCAAATGTATGTATACTGAGAAATTTGCCTTTGAGAAATTATTCTATTTGCTACCACTTAATGAATCTCAAAATTTTGAGTAAATCTACCTCAGTCTAATCATTTTCTTAAGACCTTTATAACTAATTTAAAACCCTTAATTCCTATTTCTGGGTGCTTGGGAGCCTGATGGCTATCATAAAGTAAAAATTTATTATTCTAAGTATTCACTAGCTAAGTAAACACAGTTCTTGTTTAGCTAGCACATACTGTTCTTCAAATCTCTTCTGCTTTTGCAGTTTCCTGGCATCCTTAAAATACTTTGAGAATGTGGCCATGATCCATGAATTAAGTCAGTATCTAAGTGAATGTGTTGATATTTTACTGACCAAAGTGGAAATACAGCATATATATGGGTATTCTTATTTGTTTTTATTTATTGTCTTATTTTTATTTTTATGTGGTGTCTGGGATCAAACCCAATGCCTCACGCATGCTAGGCAAGCACTCTACCACTGAGCCACAACCCCAGCCCCAATCTGGGTATTCTTTTTTTTTTAATTTATTTTTTAGTTGTAGGTGGACACAATACTTTTACTTTATTTTTATGTAGTGCTGAGGATTGAACCCAGTGCCTCATGCATGCGAGACAGGCAATCAACCTCTGAGCCACAACCCCAACCCCAAAGCTATCTTTGTAACATCTTTTTTCTTCATTAATTACACTTCAATTAAATTTGCATCTTGAAACAAATTTATTTTGTATAATTGAACGTGTTGAGCATCTATATTAACAGATTTGATGGCCTAATATTATGAAAATAATGTCATTCCCCTTAGATTACTGTTCCAAAGGAAGAAAATTATGTAGAATGATACATTAAAGGTAAACATAGCAATACAGTAGATTTGAATCCCTAGATGATTTATATTACTCCATTTCTGTGTCACGTGTTTAGAAATGTTTTCATTTACTATGATCTTTGGTCACTTCAATTTGAAAACCTATTTTTCTTTAAGGCTTTCATTTATTTAATTTTTTTATACAATGTTTTCCTTTTTCTGCATTTTTATTGGTGCATTAGAATTGTACATAATCATGGGATTTGTTGTTTCATATTTGTACATGTTCATAATGTAACAATATGATTTGTCCAGTATCACTCCCCAGTATTTCCTCTTTTCCTCTGGGTACAGTGTTTTCTGAAAATATGCAATTACTGTATTTTTTTCACTTGAATACAATATTTGTAGGTAACTGTAGCTACTTCATAATTCTTGGGTAATTCCAGGACAGTTATATCAATGTTTACTGAAGGAACATCAAAATATTAATGCTATATTATAAAATAAAGACAAAGCAAGTTTTACCTATTTTACCTTTTTGAGACTAAGCTATGAAATCTTGTAACTAGTCTCTTAAATATTAACAATAAAAATTGGCATTTAGTTATAGTGAACATAGTGGTGTTCTATGTCTCTTAAGATTATATGGGTAGGACATGCCAAAGGTGATTGTTATCACTCTGGAGGTTATTAGAGAAAATCATAAAAGAACAACCTTTTAAGAAGGATTTGAGTCCTCTCCCTGACGTTTTCTTTTTCTTGGAGCCTTATTAGCAACTCTGCATATTTTTATAAAACTAGTTACGTCATAAATGGATTCAAACTTATTTAATTTGCATTATGTTTCTATGTGAGAAATGTCATGGAAACACCCTGCATGCAGTCTGGTTGCAATAGATTCAGGCTTGTCAAGGGTAGTCTGGAGTCTATATATGGTGAGGACTACATCCCAGAGCCTTTAGCCTGGATTCCTACTCTTAAATGAAAGGGGTGCAATCCTTTGGAGGAAAAAAAAAACTTTTCAATTGGAAATTTTGTGGTTTTCTCATTAAAATTTTCCCCAAACACCAACTTTCTCTTCCATCTTGATCTGTCAGGTCAGTGTATTGGAAGTTATTTTTTTTCTCTAAATAAAATTATTACAGATTGTCTCAAGAGCACAACCAGCTGAAGGTTTCTTCATTGCCAGGACCAGAAAGGAGAGAACGTGGGCTCTACAAGAGGAGACACATACTCAACTGTTTGAATAATCATAAATTAAAGGCATTATTTGCCCAGTAAATTTCTCATTTAATATTTTTCAAAGTTCTGGTTTAAATGGTTTATTAAAGTTACATGTGAGGATTTTATTTCAAAAGGTATTGTAGTTTGTATACTTAAGAGTAAGAGGGAAGCCAGGAGCAGTAGTGTGGCACACATCTGTAATCCCAGCAATTTAGGAGGCTGAGACAGGAGGATTGCAAGTTCAAGACCAGCCTCAGCAACTTTGTGAGACCCTAAGCACGGTTCTCAAAATAAAAAACGATGGAGAGGTGACCCAGTGGAAAACACCCCTGGGTTAAATCTCCAGTATCCCTCCTCCCAAAAAAAGAAAAAAGAAACCCAACATTTTTTTAACTTTTAGTATTTAACTTCTCATTTTAACTTAAGTGATGTTTCTAATCAAAAAAGCTATACTATTTTTAAATACCACAAATGGGGGTTAAACTGATGTTAAAACAGTTTGCAATTAATTAAAAAGAGAATCAGCTTAATTTCATTTAATCATCTCAAGTGCATTCTGCATCCTTTAAAATTAAGTTTGAGAATTTAAGAGAATGGTGTTTTCATTAAGTTTTGCATATCTTTTGTTATGCCATGTCAATTCTCTTTTTCTAATGATTAAATGAAAGTTATGATAAAATGATTATTTAGTTTATTTACATTCACTTGTAGCAATTACATGAGAATTTGAATGTTTGGGGGTATGGGTTTGTTCATTCCTGTGAATGATGTACAGTGGGGTGATATTTTCTATTGGGTTACCCAAACTCACCATTTGGTCCTATTTAATCTTTGAGGGTTTCAATAAAAATTGTTTACTTAAAAAAAAAAATCTAGGAGATATCACCTCACACCTATCAGGATGGCCATTACCAAAATGAAATACAAGTGTTGATAAGTATGTGGAAAAATTAAACCCCTGCACACTGCTAGTGGTACAGCCACTATGGAACAATATGGACGTTTCTCAAAAAAAAAAAAAATTAGAATTACCATAAGATCAGACATTTCCACTTCAGAGTATTTATCCAAAAGAATTAAAATCAGGATTTCAAAGAGATACCAGCACTCCTATATTTCCTGTAGCAAAAGTCACAATAGCCAAGATGAAGAAACAAGTGAAACATCCATCTACCAATGAATAAAGAAAAATGTGATCACACACACACACTCACACACACACACACACACACACACACACACAGTGAAATACTATTCAGCCTTTAAAAAAAAAAAAAAAAGAAAATTCTACCAGGTGCAATGACACATGCCTGTAATCCCTGTGGCTTGGGAAGCTGAGGCAGGAGGATCACAATTTCAAAGCCAGCCTCAGCAACTTAGCAAGACCCTGTCTCAAAATTTAAAAAAAAAAAAAATTATTTGTTTAAAAAATGGGCTGGGTATAGAACTCAGTGGTTGAGCAGTCCTGGGTCAATGCCCAGCACTAAAACTAAAAAAATACACAAAAAGAAGGAAATTCTGCAATATGTAACAATATGGATGAAACCTGAGGATATTAACCAAGTGAAATAATCAGTCACAGAAAGTCAAATATTTCACAGTCCACTCACAGTCCAAGGAATCAAAAATAGTCAGATCCATGGAATCAAAGAGTGGCATGGAGGTTGCCAAGGACTAGGAGGAATACTAATCAGTGGAAAGAAAACCAGATGAGTAAATTCTAGAGATCTGCTGTATAACACTGTATCTATAGTCAACATGGAGTATTGTACACTTAAAATTTTGTTGAGGGTAAATCCCGTATTAAGTGTTCTAATGACAATCTGTTTTTATTTTATTTATTTATTTATTTATTTATTTATTTATTTATTTATTTATTTATTTTGCCATACTGAGATGGAATCCAGGGCCTCGCTCATGGTAGGGAAGCACTCTACCACTGAGCTACATCCCCAGCTCCACATGAAAGTTCTTAATGTTTATATAGTCAAACTTAGCAATCTGATGGGAGAATATACATATATATTTTTTGAGTATTCCTCAAACCCCCCAAAAATGTGAGTCCTTAGAATTAAAAGGATACCCTAGCTAGGCTTGATGGTTCATGCCTGTAATCCCAGCAACTCAGGAGGCTCAGGCAAAAAATAGCCAAATTTCGAGGCCAATCTCAGCAAATGAGCAAGACCCTGTCTCAAAACAAAAAATAAAAGGGGCCGGGAACATGGCTCAGTGGTTAAGTGCCCTGGGTCAAATCCCAGCACCTTCCCCCCAAAAAGGATATGCTGAGTGCTAAATAGGATGAATATAATAAATGCTCATTTGGACACATTGTACTGAAATTTCAAAAAATAATGGAGAATTTTAGGTGTTTGGGGGGCAGGGATTGTGGGAAGATGGATTTGTTGTTTGTGCTTGC